TGTAGGCACCTCGGAATGATTGTGTTAAGCTAGCACTAAGTCCCTCCCACATCCACCTTTATTATTTTCTTTACAATAAGGCTTTCAAATAAGTCATGGTTGTACGGTAGTGAAGCATCGGTGTTGAACACTGATTGCATGCTGTCGATGAAGATGATGATGATGTTCCTGTGCAGTACGAATTTCCAGAAGAGCGGAAATCGCTTGACAACCTGGTGCCCACCATCAAACCAGCGCCGAATCCAAATAGACCACATCACCGTCAGTTATCGGTGGCGAGGGTCTATTACCGCCTGCCGCCCCTTCTGGAACACGAGCGTGGACTCCGACCATGCACTTGTACGCTGCTGCTTTTCATTGCGCTTTTCAGGTGTACGCGAATCGCTCGACCTGCCCGGCTCTGGCCGCCCTATCAGTACCCAATCGGTGCTTCCCTCCACCTTCTACCTCACCAGCCCATTAACAAAACTTTTCCTACCCGTCCCGCTGTAATTATCCCGGCCGGTCGGAAGTAGGAAATAAATCGTCCAGGCGTAACATTTTCGGTGCCTAGCTGTCAAGCAACACGAAAAAAGCACGAGGGCTGGGATATTGCTCGGCTGACCAAGCCTAGGTAGTGAAAGTCGAGATTCACGGATTGATACACAGGATCGAGGCTTTTGCCAAGTTTCCCGGGTCGGTTTTGTTCTTGTCGGTCAGTGGCTGTCGTTCACCTGAAAGGCACAGGTGAAAAAAGGGTGTAGCACTGCTCTTTATGTTCTCAGCGCGGGGCAGTATGCTCGCCAGCGCGAGGATTCGCATAAATAAATGTCTAATAGTGCTTTAAATTGGGTTCGAGAAGGAGCGTGTACAACCGTCGGAGGAACGTCATTCCACGCAGCTACTACCCGAAATCAAAAAAAGTTTTGTCTAATGTGTGTGCCCTGAGCTTGAAAATTTTCTTACTATGTCCCCGCCGGGTGTTTGCTGGGTCAACGGTAAAAAACCTGTTTGCCAAGCTTTGTTCAAACAGGGCG